CCTGAACTGAGTTTTAATGACTGAGTGTCGCACTTGTATCCAAATTCATGACTTCTCCTTACGACGGCTAGGGATAGGGCTCAAGAGAAAGAAGGTTCTAAATGACAGGTTACTCCCTGTCCCTCACACTGCTGTCTGTCTGCAGAGCACCACACCAGCAGCAGAACCTCCTCTGGCTCGCTCTCTTCCTCCAGAGGCTGAAGAGGAGGCCAAGGACAACAAATATCCAGGGGCTGTCAGTCCAGATCCTGAGCATGCTGAACCTGTAAGTGGCACCTTTGGTTGGTACACTGCAAAGCTTTGGTGCAGTGCAGAGCTGCAGGTTTCTGATCAGGCTGCACTTGCCCTTTGTGGCTGAAGATGCTGGGGCTGGAGTCCTGCCATGACCCAGCACTTCAGCCAAGCCGCTGACACGTGGCAAATAGGATCTGAACTTTCACATGCAGGCATCATTTTCCTGGCATTCTGACAGGGACTGTGAACTTCCCTTGGCGTTAGATAAGCAGTAGCACGATGTCCTTTAGTGCTACTGGTGTGCAAGTGAGCCCCGCTGTGCTCGGTGTCTGTGCAGACTCTGTGTTGTCAGCAGAGAGAGCAGACCCAAGGCACAGTTCACAGCCTTGTGGGGTACAGAGGAGCCATTGTTGCCTGCAGGGAGCTGCCCCTCTCCACATACTGTCTACGTAGCTACAGTCATTGCTTTGACGACACCCCTAATTCTGACACGACCCAGGTTTCCTGAGAAGAATCCTGTGGGAAAATGGTTTGTCAGGCTAGTGCTGAAGGCAATCTTCCTCAATGAATTACAGCTGTACTGATTATCAAGGATTAGAGGCAGCCCTGCATTTCCAGTGAGGATGGGTGTTATAAAAGAGTGGGTTAGCTGGACTAGAGTAAATTGGATTTGGAGTCTGATGCAGTTTGAGATGGAGTCTGCTGACTGCACTGTGAGGAGGAAGGGACATGTGGTCATGCAAGGGACAGACAAGGTAAGATGCTGTGTGACGGATGGACAGGGTTAGGAGGTTGTCTAAGGGGTAGGTTGGGGTTATCTGGTCATGGAGAAGGAAGAAGGAAATGCACAGAGAGAAGGAGTCAGTGCTGTGTGGAGCTGCCCATGGAAGTCCACAGAGAGAAGGTATGAGAAGTTTTTATGGTGATGATGGTGCCAGTTGTGTCTGTCTTGACAACTACAGAATCCATAGCAACACTCCATGGCACAGACAAGGCCTGTCTCTGAAGGGCTGGAATGCACTTCCTGTTGGCTACTCTCTAAGGACTGAAATCCTCAGGGGAAGCCAATTGACCAGAGCTGAGCAGGGAAATGTTCTCTGCTTCTATTCAAACACTTCCAGCTAAAGAAGTAGCAGCTAAAGAGTTATTTAGTTACTCCCATCAACATCCCCCACACAACAGCATCTGCTTTCAGGTGAGCCATGTGTCTGCTTGCTGTTTCTCCCAGCTCTCAGGAGCCAACTTCTCTGCTCCTTATTGCTTTGTGCTTTTTCCCTGCCCATTCCTTGCAGGCCCCAACAGGAGAGCTTCTTGCCTGTCAGGACTCCTCGGCCCAGGCAGGAAAAGCGGAGTGGCAGGAAAGCACGGATAGAGTGTGCAGGGCCCGGCAGTTCAGGTGTGTACCAAGCTTTCTCTCTTTTCTCTGGGCAGGGCTGGGCATTGCTGGCCTTTAGGAGGCCCAGCGCCAAAGAACAAATTTGGCTTTCTCATCATTTGACTTGCTCAGCACAGCAAAGGGAAGACAGGTCATGGGCAGGTCTGGCTGCCGACCAACCTACAGCAAAGCTGCCTCCTGGGACTCACTTGTTGAACCTTGACAAAAAGCATTCCGAACTGGAGCAGGGTAGGAAGGAAGGAAGGTTCGGGCTGGGCTTAAGGATAGCAAAGTCTTGAACCTCAAAGACAATAATGCAGCAGAACAAGCTTGTCAGAGAGCTTGTGCCGATTCCACCTCTGGAAATTTCGAAGCCTAAGCTGGATAAAGTATTGAGCAGCCTGTCCAGAAGCCATAGCTGACCCCAAGTGCTTGGAGCTGAGGACTGGAATAGAAGCTTCCTGGGGTCCCTGCCAGCCTAAACCATCCTGGGATCCTTTGATTATTGGATTGGAAAACCATACCCATTTCTGCCTCAAGGTATAGCATAATTACATAATTACAAGAGCTCCCTGATTCAGAGCTCAACTAAAATTCTGAAAAATGAAAGTTGTTTTAATTCTGAAGCCCCAATATAAGATCTGAAATCTCAGGTCACCTGCCAGGCATCCTCTGCTTTTAACTCTTAAAATAATGGATGCTAAGACAAAGCTGAAACAAAAATAAGAATGTGATGAAATGGCTTGTAAGAAATAGTTTCTGGTTCATCTGCATTTCCCATCATTGAAGTATGGGTGTCTGTAGTATTTGCCACTAGGATCTGAGCAGCCCCAATGCCTGTCACCAGAACCTGAATAGCTGCACTCTGTATTCCAGAGACTGGATTAGCTAGGGTTTAAGAGGCCTTTGATTAAATGCAGTGCATGTTGCAGGGACAGAAGTGGCCACAGTGTCTGATGCTAGAGACTGAGTGGCTGCAGTGCTCATCGCAGGGACTGAAGAAACCAAAATGCTTGTCACCAGAATTTGTGTAACTGCAGTCCCCCTCCTTCTCCTTCAAGCTGAGCTTGTCCATGGGTTGAGGTAACCAGCAATCATTGCTCAACCCTAAACAAGATCTCAGCCATATGGAAGCCCATGCTGATTCCCAGCAAAAGGGGCCAGGCTTGTTTCAAGGGTAATTCAAAGGACATTCATAATCTTGAAAATTCTCAAATACTTCTGCAGTCCACTTAGAGGGCTTACAAAGGGAGGGAGGGAGGCAGGGAGCAAGGGAGACAAGGAGTTGGGTGTTGGAAGGGATTTGTCCTGTAAATGGACTCCCAGAGGTGGATATGAAAGGTGATCATGGCTAATTCCCACTAGAGGCTCCCGAAGTAGGGAGGAGACGGCAATGCTGACTACACAGAACAGACCACATTAAGTTCACTGCTCACCATTTTGTCCTAACACAGAATGGGTAATGTTGGAAGGGACCACCTGTGTGATCTTCTGGCCCAACCTGCCCGCTCATGTGGGACCATTCTAGAGCACATGGCACAGCATTGGGTCCAGGTGGCTCTTAAGTATCTCCAGTGAGGTAGACTCCACAACCTCTTTGGGCAGTCGGTTCCAGTGTGCAGTCACCTGCACAGTAAAGAAATTCTTCCTCCTGTTCAGATGAAACTTCCTATACATCAGTTTCTGCCTGTTGTCTTTTGTCCGATCTCTTGCTACTACCAAGCAGAGCCTGGATATGGGCTCTTGACACCCTCCCTTCAGGTACTCATAGAGATTGATGAGGTCCCCTCTCAGTCATTTCTTTTTGAGGCTGAACACACACAACTTTCTTAGCCTTTCCTCAGAAGAGAGACGTTCCAGTCCCTTCATCACGTTTGTGGTCCTCCACTGGACTTGTTCCAAGAGCTCCACGTCTCTCTTTTACTGAGGAGCCCAGAACTGGATAGGTGATTCCAGGTGATGCCTCACCAGGGCTGAGTAGAGGGACAAGGCCACCTTCATTGACCTGCTGGCACTGCTCTTCATAATGCAGCCCAGGTTACTCTGGGCCTGCTTGGCCAGAAGACATGGACAACAACAAGACAGGGCTGGCTCATGGAGAGCTTGTTGCCCACCAGGATGCCTAGCTCCTTTTCCACAGAGTTGCTTTCTAATGGGTCACACCCAGCCTGTGCTGGTGCCTGAGGTTGCTCCTCCCCAGGAGCCTGCATTTCCCTTTGCTGAATTTCAAAAGATTCCTTTTTGCCCATCTCTCCAGCCTGTTGAGGTCTTGCTGAAGGATATCAGCCACTCCTCCCAGCTTTGTGTTGTCAACAATCTTGCTGAGGAGGCATCTGGCCCTCCATATAATAAACCAGTGCTGCAAAAAACACTAGAATTACAACCTTAGTCCAAGCTCTATGGAGAATAAACATCACAACATGGAACACATACAGCAAGAATGGAATTACATAACAAGTTCTGAGTGTGCAGAATCACTGACAGCAAATGAAATATAATGATGACCAGAGCCTATTAAACTAATACACAAGTGCTTATAACACATTTATTTTAACGTGCTATGGTCAGATCTATCATTATCTTAACCCTTCAAAGCCCACTATAGATGCCAAAAGGGACAGTCATGGTTTATCTCCAGCTAGCACCCGGGTATCCTGCAGTTGCTTACTCGCTTGCTCCTCCCCATATTCCCCCAACTGTGAGGAGGAGAGCTAGGAAGAAAAGATAAATCACATGGGTTGAGATAAGAACGTACAAATTGAAACAAAACATAATAGCAGCAGCAATAATAATAATAATATAGTAATAATGCTAATAATAAGAGCAACAACATCAAAAATAGCAATAATAGAGGGAAAGAAAGTAACACCAAGAGAAGCAAGTGATGCGCAATACAATTGCTCACATCTGCTGACGAATGCCCGTCCCTCTTCTGGTAACTCCCCCCAGTTTATATACTGGGGCATGAAGTTCCTTGGTATGGAACAGCTCCTTGGCTAGTTTACATCAGCTGACCCAGCTATGCTCATTCCCAGCTTTTTGTGCAGCTCCTCATTAGCAGACCATGAGAAACTGAAAAGTCTTTGATTTGGGGTAAGCGCTACTTAGCAACAGCCAAAACACACATGTGTTACCAACGTTATTCTGATATTAAACCCAAAACCCCAGCACTCTGCCACTACTAAGAAGAAAGTGAAGTTTGTCTGTTATAAATAACAATATAATATTGGCTTTTGCATTTATGTATTAGCTGTTGCATGTTGTTATTAATCACAGGTATTTTGATGCGATACAATTTATAATTCCTTTTAACTTCTTTTTGGTATCATATAATCTAACCGTTTCTGCATGTGCCATACAGCTTATATAAATAGTAGCGTGATAAATATATTTTAGGCCTTAGCATAACATTAAAATAGAGACTATCTGATGTTAAAATGTTTTTATTCATGTAACTAACTCAGAGAATGGTGTAAAATAATTAGGTTTTTTCTCACATTTGTAGACTATCCTATCTGAATGATAAGATAACAGTGACAAAAACCAGAACACTAAGAGAATCTATTAAGTCTTTGTTATCAGGTGGTGTAAAAACAACAGGACAGAAACACGAGAAGAAGTAAAATATATTGATCTAATCTACAAAATGGCATGCAGACAAGCCAAAGATTAAAACCAAACAAAAGAATTCCCAGAACATATAAAAACCCACAAGATTGTTTGAATATGTATAACTCTCATTAATATTTATTTAACCCATGTAATGTAAATGTTTATAAGAACATTGTTTTAAAGGTAATGCTGTGCTTTAAACAGTTTGTCAGGTACCCCAGTGCTAGATATTATGCTGTTTATCCCTTGTTAAACTTTTCGAAAATTTTTAAAACTGAGCTTTGTTTCTCACACTGTCCTAGCTGAAAGAAGGACAATTATCTTTGCCTTATTTTCTTCCATAACTTTCTATTGCTTCCTTTGCCTTTTCTGTTCCCTTTTCCCTTTTATTTAAGCTTTTCCTTTTTTTACTATGGTCGGATTTTGGCTTCATATCTGCACCTGCCGTGCAGTCATAGCATTTTCACTCTACAAGTGCTGATTTAGCCTTTACTAGACACTAAGAACAATGTTTTCTCCACTTCTGCTGTAATTAGAATGGTGTTTTCATAACCTATGAGTAAGGAAAGACTTCTGAAGAGAGTTCTAAAAGAAAGTTGCAAACAAGTCATGTAATCAACAGGCATTATTTTTTCAGTTGAGTTTAGTACACTTTCAATTTATGAATAGCAATCAGAATTTGAAATTGTTGAAGTGTCTTCTTCAGAATCCAATGAAATGCTTTATATTTTCATTTTAAAATGATGCTATTGATACTGTGAAATAGATCTAAAATAAAAATTAATAAAGACTCACTTGAAGGGAAATGTTCCACATTAGTTTTTCTTCACTTGGGCAAGTCTACTTCACTAGATTTTCTGCTTAAAAATAATTTCTTCATAATTTAACGTTTAATGGTGGTTTTAGACAAATATTTTTGGACATGGAATAATAGTTCAGGTCAGAAAAGATCCTTTTTGTCTACTGCCATAATGTGCATTCTGTTGTTCCTGTCTGAAATAAGGATTCTGTACATATCCTTACTGATGTCATCACTAATACATCACGCTAAGGCAGCAGAGCTTAAAAACTTATTTTCCTAAACTTTCATTTTGTTTTGCACTTGGAAAATATACCCAACTTAAATTTTTCTTCCAGTATGAGGGATGGAAAACTGCCCAAGTATTGCTACTCTTGTGTCACGCTATCAATACCTGCCGATTGGTGAGTTTATTTAGGTTCCTGTGTACAGCAGACTGCGTTCAATGACTTTGTAGAGATGAATTCAGATAAACTTAGAGTTATCAGTTTCTTCAGGAATGAGATGAAAGGAAATTCTAACTACATTGGAGTCGAGCAAGATATTATTGTGGACCTGAGCTCCACTAACAGGTGTTTTCCCTCAGCATCTGATCAGTCAAATAATATGCAATTAAACTATTACCTAGGACAACATGCTTCAGGATCAGAAGAAAACTTAATCCAAAACCTAACCTGATTAGATACCAGAGATTCAAATTTGCCATTTATGATCACACAGTCTGCTTCACACAATTGATTGTGCCACTCATTTCCATGGGCTCTATGTGGTCCAGTGGAAGAAAGTTTGATCCTTAGTAAACTTATCTCTTTTATATTTTCACAGTGGTTTCCCAAGGACAGGAGAAGGTCATGTTCATCACATCATGGAATTCATACTGTCTTCTGCTGCACAACCAACAGAAAAGCAGGAGTGCAGGGAAACCATTTCTAAAGCTTCTGGTCTTCTGAAATGTTAGTGTAGGCCTACCTGGAGTGTACTGCCCTGGCATCAGCACTGTTCATTAGACAAACAGAAGTGTCTTGGGAAGGACCATCCCAAACTCTGGGATTGGACATGGTTAAGATACCTGACTGATGATTCTCACTGTGGAAAACAGTGGGTCTTAAATTATTCTACTCCTTTCTGACATCCCTGGAAAAGAGGGCAGATTAAACAAAGCCTCATGACTTCAAAGACTTTTTGATCTGTAGGCTACCATCAGAGAAAACCCCACAGGAGGAAAACATGTCCCTTTATCATCAGCATGCCACAGAAGTCTTGCTGCCATTTTCAGCAGCACTGTCTAGGCTCTCAATACTCAGCATCTTTTAAAGCAGAGTGCTGACATGAGTTACAGTCCTTTCAATTTGTTCATTGGGATGCATTATGAATACACAGATTATGTGAATTCCTTTCTATTTTCTCTTGAATCCTGAGTAATGGCCAGCTCTTGAATCTCTTGAATAAATCAAAGACAGGACTTCCATATGCAACCTGGCACATAGTGGAACAACCAGTGTGCAGAAGTCAAAGTGCTATATCATGGTCCTCTCGAGATTGTGCCTAATAAAGACACAATGGAAGAAATCTAGAGGATAGTAGAAAAGTAATGTAATTGTCATTACAGGAAAATTAAAATGCCCAAGTTAATTCAGTTCAGTTTACGGCATATTTTGCAATCTCACCTGCAAACAGATCTTGTGTATCAGACTGGAAAGCAAATTGCTGTGATTTTCTTATCTAGTCATAATTCTTATGAACAAATTTTAGAAATCATTTTTTCATAAGCATATTGTACAATGTAGTGCATTTTCATCCCAAAATAGCACAATGGTAAGGTGATAGAAACTGATTGTTATCCATATAAATATTTCCAAATTTACAGCTGACTAGGGCTTCTGTATTTTAGTGTTAGCCACCAAATCAAGTTGAAGACACAACTACATGTTATTTCCCCTTTCCACATCACTCAACAGAAGAAATGCTGGATCAGCTGTTCTTGTGCTTTTTGTTCATTTTACTAGATCAAAGGAAAAAATACAGGAACTTCGGTAACTATGAAAATTTTTGCATTAAGATATGGTAAAATCACAATGCTGGTGGGATTCTGATCCCTGACTGAAGATTTCTTTTGCAGGAGCTTCACCTTTTGAGGTGGAAGTTCTTCCATGTCCCTCTCCGGATAGTTATATCCCCTACAGACAGAGAGCAGCACTACTATTTTCTGCTGTTCAGGCCCCTGGAATTTCCAGGGGATTGATGGGTCCACAATACAAAACACAGCATCTACAGTATTAGCCAGGATACTGCTTTCCTAAAATATAAAAGTATAATGATATAGGGAATACCATAACAGGTATATGAGCCCAAACGCAAAGAAAACAGGTGAAGAAACAGCAGTGATACCTTGGTTTTTCCTTGTATATGGAGCAGAAAAATCTCCAATTCAAAGGGGTTCAAGTTCCACAGGATCCTGACTCTTCTTTCCTCCACAGAAGTGGACTTTGTCTGGCCCTAGCACAGCAGTGTCCCAGGTAAACCAAAAATGTGTATTGTATTCCACATCTGTCCTACACCAGTCTGCCCAAAATTATTTTAAGATCCGAGGGCCAGAAGCAGAACCGAGTGTCTTGCCCAGGTTCTTGAGGCAGGAAGTGCCAGAGTCCCTTTAAGAGTTTTAGAACACTTATGCAGAGCCTCTCTCTCTTCCACATTCTCAGGGGGGAAGCTGAGGCAGCACAAAGCAGAAGAAGCTCCCATTTGTTTTCTTTTGTTTTTTCCTGGACTTTTGGAGCAGTAGGCATCATCTTTTTGGCCACAGTTGCCATGGGCAACCTCAGTTCCTGAGGCAGAGGAGGACATTTTTAATCAGATCTTGATTTTTTTTCAGTTTTCCAGGAAAAATGAAACAGCCCCACTCCATATGGTCACCCCAGCCTGCCAGCAGTGCCTGTCTAAGCACAGAGCACAGAGTCCAAGCTGCCCCTGCCAGCTGGCTGCTGCTTTTGCTGAGGAGAAGGTGAAGTCTCTCCACAAGTTATAGCCTCTGGCCCAGTTCCAGCCACCACTGTCAAGAGTGCTGCTGCAATGGACAGCCTGTCAGGTGGCACGGAGAAAACAGATCAGCAGCATTTGCTGGTTTTGGACTCTGGGCTTCTTTTGGTTCTTGTTCTCTGTTGTCGTTTGGGGGAAGAGGGAATTTTGTAATCATGGAAGTTCAGTTGCCATGCTGTTTTTCTTTCCTTCATTCTCTCTCCCCACTGTGTGCTCAAGACAAACAGCCTCTCCTACCATCCCTGGACTATCTGGTCTTTGGTGGAAGCCGCCATTTTGGGGAGGGCTCCTCTGCCATCTTGTGTTTTTTGTTCCCTGGCAGTCAGAGGCATTCAATGCCTTTGTAGCTAGTGATTATTACTGTTACTTCTCCCTGTTACTGTTCCATTTTCTGATAAATTGGTATTTTTTCATTTCTATTTTCTCACATTCATCTCTCCTTACTAGTGAAAAGGGGAGTGGCTAAGCCTAAAAGCGAAGGTAACTTATTTTGAAGTGCCCACATGTAGTGGTTTTAGTTCACCAATTTGAAATATCTCAACGCACAAATTATTGTGGCAGATTTAGCGCTGGCCAAATTGCCAGTGCACCCGCTAGAAATATTTACTCATTTGCTGCTCTGAGCTAGGGTTAGGAGAAAGGCAAAACGGGCTTAAACTTTGAATGGTACAAAGAAAAAAACTTTATTACTAGAAATGACAAGAAAAAATAACAATCAGAATCAAAGTTTCAGAAGACTTCCCACCACTACTTCTTTTCTTTCACACTCACAACATATAGAAATAAATCAGTCAGTTTACCATCTCTTAATATAATCTTTCGCCAATTTACTTAGGGAGCGGAGTATCTCTCTTCAGTCTATGGAGACTACTCCACAAGAAGCAGTTTTCTCATGGCCTTGATGTCACAGTGATCAGGCACCCAGGAGAATGGAAATCTGATCACTGTGTAAAAGTCCCTTCCTCGACTGACGGTTTTCTCATAACTCTTATTGAGGACCATGGCAACTTTTAGGGCACATAAATTTAAGGATTAGCA